CATCAGATCCTGGGGACATCTTTCAAAGGAAAGAACAAGAATTTAAATTGCTCTTCACAGGCATCTCTAGGATCTCACTCCTGCTCCTTGGCTCCAGAATTACTACAATGCATTATGTCTGCCCAGCTACGAGTGGGATGAAAACTCGCTTCAAAGTCTGCCAATGTGCCATCTCAATTATTTGACTCTAGGAACTCAATCCAGATTTTCCTGTGCAGGATATTAATTTGCCAGACAACATCAGGAAGTTGTGCTTTAACTCCGGATCACCTTGGCAAAGTTCTAAAATGTGAAATCAATTAATGGGAACCCTTCCCCACATTTTAATTATTGCAGTGTCTGCACAGCAATCTGCCTAAAACCTGGAGCTACACAACAGCCCTCAGTGTCTTCTCCCTCAAGCCCATTCACCCTAACTCTGAGCAGGACGCCGCTTGTCACGGATGCTTAGTTTGCAAACTAGTAGTTTATAGCCTCTTGCCTGACAGTAAAGCCATTTGTCGTTATGATTAAGTTAATAGTTACTATTACTTAAACATGCTACAATCATTTTGTGTTGATATACAGTATTAACTAGTTTCCATAGCTACAGCAGACAGAACAATTCAAGACCTTAGGGTCTCCTGAGAGTTCAGAGCCAAGGGAAAACTGCTCTTGAAAAGGCGATGGGATAGATAGGAAGAGATCGCGATGTACAGCATTAGTCAAGTACGTCTCACAGCTTTCAGAAAGCACGTTATCTGCTGAAGTTCCATCTTCAGAAGCCTAAGCAATATTTACCTTGTGTTCCCTTGTTCATTAAAGTGTTCTATTCCCTGTCAAAAGTGATTTATGGACTCTGTGGTATCACTAAATCTCATTACCGACTAACACTTCCTAGTAAGGGGGATGAGAAGTCTTATCAGTAATATACTGTACAGCAGCTGAGCACCAAAGGAGGAATACAGCACTGGAGTACATCTCCACTGCAGTCTCAGTGCGCCTGCAGTTGGGTAGACTGGATCTAAGGCTGCTGGTCGGACGCTGATGCAGGTACTGCCCTCTGCTCGGAAGCAGCAGAGCAGCCCAGGATCGTCCGCACCGACCTGCGCTGCAGGTCTTCCAGTCTTACCCAGCTCAGGCCTGTCTCCCGCTCAGCTGAGCACGGACATTCCTTCCACTGAAGGACATCCATCAATGCTACATGCATATTTTGAACTTACTCGCTGTAGGAGAATGTCCTGATAAAGGAAGCATGTTCAAGAAAGATAATAAGAATACATATAAGGGAGTATAGAATTAATCAAAGAAAGGAAAGAAAAGTAAGCTTTCATCCTTCAGGGAACAGAGTAGCCACTTCAGCTTCCTAGGCCTTTGTGTTCTGATCATAATGCTTTTTCAAGCATTACTACAGCCCCTGGCAGACTGAAGTTAGTGGGATGGATTGTAATTAATTCCCAATTCCGTGCTTGTAAAAGTGTAATGTTTTTCATCCTTCTTCATGATCTTTTAAGTCCAACAGGCTGTAGGTTAGAGAATACTAGTCATGTGGTAAGGCTCATTTGAAAACCACTGTAAGTGGATCCAATTACTATGTAACTAGGTTTTGACAACTATTCTTTCCACCCACCGACTTACAGAACCAAATCTATGCTGTGAATGCTGTAATGGAAAACATAATTCCAAGATGGAAAGGACTATTAAACCGTATCGTGCCCATGACATCAAAAACCAGCCAACAGCCCGTTTGTACCACCTGTCACCAGGCAGGCACTGTCCTCTGCTGTTCTGAACTTGGTGCTACCTGAAGCACAGGGTCTATTTACACACTTACCGCTCAACAGCTGCCAACCTTCGTCTTAGCTCTCGTCTCTTCTTTCACTGCAGCTACATCCTTGCTCTGGGGCCCGCAGGTACCACGCTCTCAGGTATGTGCATTATGCCACTAGCAGCATCGGGTGTTCATTGGTCTACAAATTCTCTGCTTCCTCAGAAAAGAATTTGCATCTCAAACTATTGACTGTTCAAGTGGAAAGCATTGTAATCTCTTTCCCCAGAGGGCTTTTCTGCAGTAACACAACTTGCCCTGCATATAAATAAAATTACTAGGGTAACATTTTTCAAAAAAGCAATTTCAAACACCAAAAAACCCCGTTAAGAACCCCATGCATCTTTTAATACAGGTTTATTGTTAAGCTGAGAACTTGTCTGACAAGTGTCAGCCCTGAGCAGCTTTTGTTAAAAAACCAAAACCACCCAAACAAAATAAAAACAACTCACAGTCGAGTACAGAATTTTAAGGGAAATACTGATGGATGCCTCAACTACTGTAATTAAACTCACTCTGGAGCTTTACATAAGCACAATAAATGAAAAAAAGACTCCCTTTTTCTGAGGAGGGATATTCAGTATAGGCTGTAGTCACAAAGGCGCGACAAAAGGGTCTGGCTGCACTCTTGAAAGGCCCACCATTACATGAGCAATGCATCACCGTATAACCTCACATGAAACACAGGGTCCCAGGCAGCTGTTCTTCACACACGATTAGATCAGCGTTTGCCTAGGCATTAGGAGGTACATGCCTGCTCTTTTCATAATTCTTTATAAGTAAAAGTAATGAACTTTGATCAGATACCCGCTCTCAAGCTGAACAAGCACTTACTTTACAATGTTGTGCTTTGAATTTAAGACACCTGGAAAGTCAGAGGCTTAGAAACACCCACAGGGGTGACTCCTGTCAGATCTTTCTATTGCACCGGAACAATCTAAGAAGTGAATGTAGCTAAATTCAACCTGTGCATGTCAAGGTGTTCCATTAATAAGGTGCAGTGCTCAGTCACAAAGTTAATTGATTAGTCTTATTTCTGTGACTGGAGTGGAAACACTAAAAGATAAGATGGAGAGGAAGAATCAGCTAAGCCTTTGAGTCACAAAAAGGGGCTTATCCCTTTGATGAGAAGTGTCAGATTAATCTTCATAAATGGTCATAATTACTTGTGCCTGGAGCTCAGCCAAGTCATTCCAAATAAAAATTAAATTATACAACTGATTGCACGTTCGGTCTCATCTCCAGAGTGTTAGAGCCACCACAGCCTTACCGAAACATGCAGACGTTTACTGTATGCTTGTACCAGGGTAAGAGACATTTGCCTAAATATCGAGTAGGCTAACCTAAGATTTATTGATTATGTTTTTCCTTAAATAATAGTTTCACTAAAGCTTCCCTGCACAGACTGCCACAGTTACTATTCAAGACCTAGTTTCTTTGGTAATCTGCAGATTACTCTTCATTCTTCATTAAACTCAATTTTAACTACAATTGGCAGACCCGTATCAGATGGAAAATCTATGAATGCTGCTGAAAATTTTTAGATCTTAGGGAAAAACCAGTGCAATTAAGTTTACTTACTGGAAAAGGGGTAAGTACACAGCCACCAAAGCTGATGACATCGAACACCAGAAGCCACGCTCCTTGTGGAGGTTCTGAGAACAGGTCTTGTTCTTCAGAAGAAGGAACACTTCTAAAAGCAAAATCTTCATAAATCTAGTAGCATACTGCTTAGCTGGCACAACCCAGTTCTCTCCTGCGATTACATATGCTTTGTAAATTAATGAAATAAACATGAAACTGCAGACTCATGCCCAGATTAGAAGTGCATGAATGAAACAGCATGAAAGAAATCATTTGGTCCCTGTATGTTCCTTATGCAGCACTATTATAATATTAGGCTTTTTTAGCTGGTTATAAATGGGATATTCCAGAAACAGAGCACATGGCGCTTTTAAAACAAAGTTAGAAAAGGAAACTAGCTTTTCCTCTTATGAGATGTTGCTCGCTTTTTAACCAATTTTAAATCATACTAAGTAATTCAATAGCTGAAGCATCTACACTGATTCATCTTGGCAAAGACAGGCCAGCTTGCACACTGCTGTGTTATCTGGCAGAACTAACAGGACACCAGCATACATTTAGAAATCTAATAGCATTCCACTGTCGATTTAGGAAATAAAGACATAAAGGCTAAAGAACAAAATATTTGCAGTATAATTTTATTCACCTAGAAACAAAGGGTCAAAAGTCACAGCATGGAAGTTCATTTTATTTTGTAAACTCATTAAAAAGATGTCCATGTACAAAAGAAGGACATTTTAACAACATAAATGCAGACAAAGGAAACTATAAAAATTCAACACTTTAATAAAAAGTTGAGGTTTTATTTTCTTTCTGCATAATTCCTTCCATCTTCCATACCAGTCTGCAAACAATCTTAAGTACAATTGTTAGAATCATTAAAATTCAAGAGGCTTAAACATAAAAACATTTGCTCTGCTATAGGAATGTGTTGCTGAAAGATACAAACCCTGTAGCATGTTAGCTAGAAGTAAGACACAAGACTGAAGGAACTGGCTGAAAGGCTTCTAAATTGTTATTGCGCATTCATCTTCTGAGAATTCAATCTCAGGGTTTTTTTCTGCAAATACTTAAAATTTATTTACCTCAGGGAAGTAACAGCGTTAGACTGAATGGTGCTTTGTCTTAAGATGCATGTTTCCACATTGTCCTAATACATCTAAAGGAGATTCAGAAATGAAAACATTTCTGAAGTAAAACCATTTCAGTCCCAACAAGTGTTCGTTGTGCACCAAAACTTACAGCAGCTATATGACGAGCTACTGTGACATACAATTCAGTCTTCAGTACTGGATACTCTTGACTGCAAGTCCGGACTTAAATCCTTGAGACACTGCCAGTGACAAGTCTATTATGAAACTACACTTGTTTTTAATCTGAACTGCTTGCTCTGTAATTTAATTTGTCCCTGTTTCTCCCCCCAAAATGACTCTCAGTATTGGAAAATTATTCTTGTAACCACTACTTGAGGTTTCTATGAAATGTTTTCTTTCCTGTGTCCTCAATGTAGGTTTGAGGCTGTTGAGTGTTTCTCTAGATCCACTGTTCTTCACTAAGCAGAGTTTTTCAGTCAGGAGCAATCCATGTCCCATGGGACTCGCTATACGCAATTTCCAAGTGTAAGTGTCCCACCTTTCAAGAGTTAAGTAAACATCTCACGATTAACAAAGAGCAACCTGAATGCCTAGAGTTAATACACTTCCAAGATTTGTGTTTGTCCTCCGCCAGGACGTAGTGCAAGAACGAGCCCTGCCAACATAAGGCACTTACCTACGTTACAGGAGAGGGGGCAGGGGCGAGAACTCTTGTAACATGCAAGTCTAGTAAGAGTCTCACTGGAGAAAACATACGATCTCGCAGACTTCAGGTGCGCTGCCACTTCCTTGTGTGCTGCTGTAACAAAGTCTGCTCTGTAACAGATCTCAGATCCTCCCATTGGCAGCCACTTCATTAATCTTCGATTTTTGATGATCATATTTCACAGAAACAATAAGGAAAAGCAAGAGGGTTGCTCCTTGGATAGCAGCCAGCAAAAAAAAATAATAGTTTAATTGGCAGCCATTAATATTACCTGGAAAGAATTGGGAAGAAAAAATAAACATTAATAAAGATTATACAAATAAAAACGTCAATCCCTTGAAGATTAAGTAGCGCAGACTTTTCCGCAAAACATGGGCAAACCCAAACCAAATCAAATCCCATTTCCTTCCGACAGCACAGTTTGATTTTTAATTATCCAGAGCAAAAGATGGAGCTTCTGAGTGCACAGTGCAAGGATCTCCTCCTTTTGTGCTTCAATGCCTTAAACCACGTCGTGTCCCTGAAGAAGCTGATACGCTGTTACTGCGTGATTTCTTACAAAAAATTGCTGGAAGCTCGTCCTACCACTGTAAGACCTCTGTGCAAACAAAGGCTATATACATACAGCAGCTGGCGTGCTTCATGAGGTCAGAACAATTTTAAAAGGCTAACAGGCTAATAATCTTTCTTTACCCTCCACGCCCCCCCCAGTTTTTTTTTAAAAATCTGGTTTCTTATGCTGCAAAATTGCAAGGCTTTGCTGACTTCAGATAAAACAGCTAAAACCCTCAATGTGTATTTTCATGTACGATTTACTTTCTCTGCAATACAAGTAATAGAGCTCACGTATCAATTTTTGAGGAGACAGCTCACTTCAAAAGCCAAAAAAAGAAAACATCCCTGTGCTGTGGCCGCTAAACGGACTGCAAAAAGAAATTTCCGCAAATAAAGCCCTGGACTGTAAACTGTTCAGAAACAGCTCCCAGTGAAATGCAGCACTCCAGGTGGAAGCAAAGCTACACCCATACAGGCTAGTAACTTAAAGCCTTTACCAGCTTCACTAGATACGCTTTTAAGGAGCCTGGAGAATACAGTGCAGTGATAAGGCTTCAGTCAAGGCAAAAAACGTGTCTTTTATGTTTTACAGTTTGATTGAAACAGGTAAAAGTATGATTTTTTTTTTTTTTTTTTGTACTATATATTTTAGAGAGTCCTCTCCAGCAGCCTTTTCAGCCCTGCTTAATGCTATATGGTCTTTCTGCATCTGCAGGCCTTACCTCCCTTCTCTAAGTCAAAGCTAAAATAAAAAGAATCAAAAAATGAATGCTATTAAGGAAAAAGTTTGGCAACTCTGTAGATATAAAGAAAGCAATTACTGATTTTCTGTCAGCCTTCTTTTGGAACAAAGTTTAGAATTCATGAAACCGTAAGTTGTTTCTTTTTGGTCCAATTCACTTTAGTCACTCCTTTAAAGTTGTTACAAATTAGCGATTTGTACCACATTAAATAATGTTAAATTAAGAAAGCTCATTGCTAAAACATTATTCCTCTATTAAGAAATGTGCACTAACTGTTGCTGTACTTCCAAGAACAATATATTGTGGCTCATTTCCAACATGAGCCACAGCCAATTGGGCCATTATGATTATCAAAAAGGTTAGAGAGAATAAAAATAGTGAAGTATACATCTATCCTAACAAGGTGTTCATGCAGCATGCCTGTAAATGTTCAGATTAAATTACTTTAATTACTGAAACTTAAGATTCAATTAAATGAACTTATAATAAAATGCAATAAAGTTAAACAGAGTCTTTCCTTGACATTTAAAAGACAATATACCTGTGAATCTCCATTCAGGAGCAGACGTGTTTAAAGAGCAGTAATTATCCTTTATGAGATGGGATATTAAACCCATGAAATCTCAGGTTTTGTCAGAGAAATAACAGTAATTTCCATGGCAGCAACCAACAAGTGCCAGCAGAGAGTGAACTTTCTCGGTAGATTTTGGAGGCAGTCAGTTACCTCAAATGGTATCACCCGCTGGCATAAAGAGCACAGACTTGGTGCACGTGCTTATAGTAATTGTACAGCATCTAATGAAAAATTCAGAAGCCTTCATTCATAAAGACTCCTCCTTACAATTCCTACCCTGGAAGACCCAAGTGTTAGATGTTTTATAACTTTCAATAATGTTTTACCAAATGAAAACTGAATTGTACAGTTACTGATATCAACAGTTAAAACAGTAGCTACTATGGATGCTACAAATCAGAATCACGCACTAAGCGCTTCAACCTTGAGCCAGATGCAGAGCTGCTGAGAAGGCTCAGCTGTGTATCGAGTCTTTGGACTAAGAAAGGTAGAAGTATCCAGTTCTGACAGCTGTCCAAAGGACAATCCACTGAGCTGAGCAGCTTATTCGAAACAGATGACCACTGAGTTATGAAAGGTAACATCTTCCAGTGCTAGCCAAATCTGGATATATTTAGCACAACCTGAATATTTTAGAGAGAGAATATTAGGCACTGTCTTCTCTTAGGCTGCTTCAGAAAACAAAGGCGAGAGGCAAAACAAGTACCATCAAATACCACACATTAACTTGTATTAAATTATTGTCCTCCTATGGAGCCCTTATCAACTGAGCTATCTCTATACAGAACTGCAGAAAAAGATGGTCTTCTAATTTTGAAGTTGACTGGGGAGAAAAAGTCTCAATGTGATTAAGTTTTCAACTGGAGAGGACACTTCCATAAAGTTAAGGCTACTTGTCACCTTCTGCAGTTTTTTTTAAAGAACAACTTATAAACCAGAGATGACAACTTGTGGTATATGTACCGTTCCAGACAACATTACTTTTTGGTAGCATGCAAATCAAGTCTAGATGGCAAATCCTCTCATATAAAACTTAAAGTAAGTTTAGGCTGCACTTTTAAGCCATCTATACACAGTAGGCCTAGCATACATTTCAAGAACTTCACACTCCTTCTGATGGAACTAATTAGCCCATTGACGATGGTACGATTTTCTGAAATTCCCAAGGTGCCACCTACTGGTGCCAATAATTATTTTTAACTTCAACTGGCAATACAAAGCAGAGGACACACTGGGCTTTTTTAAGAGTATAAATAGCTAGCAGACAGAAAGGCAAAATTAACTCAGGGTAATTTTGATGAAGTCTCTTGAAACTAGGAAGCTGAACAATCACTGAGAGATGGGTACATTTTACTCCCCATAACTGCAGAAAGTAATTTCAGTACTTTATACCAACTATATTCTTCTTCCACACATAATTTAAATATTTTTTATAAAATACAAAAAATCTATAAGTAATCTCTAGTGATGACATGCAGTAACAGCTGAGTAGGTAACTGACAGGCTTTACAGAGGCAAAACACTACCTGGGTGCTTCCTGTGCTTCATGAGGACAATGTATGGTTTTGCATAGTCACATTACTGCGTATTTATATGCAAAATGAGACTTTGTCTTTAACAGTAGACAAATCTGTATTTGTAAAATACTAACTGTTCCACATGCTTGATGCTTAACTGCTTCTGAAGGAAGCCTTCTACTTTATAGACTATGAATACACTGAAAATAACTTACCAAAATCCGTGTGATTACTCATCCAGCCAATTTCTTTAATAGACACCAGCGCCAACAATCCAGAGCCAACAAATGATCCAATCCCCGAAAAGAAAAAAAACAGCCCCATAATAGCACTCTGCATAGACTTGGGAGCAGCTGAATATGCAAATTCTAGACCTGTATTAAAATATTTAAAAACAAAAAAGCTATTGGAAGATCTAAGGAAAATAGCACTTTGTTCTAGTTCAGTGTTACAGAAGTTACGGATGTATACTAGTTCTGGTATGCTAAAGACCTAAAACTAGCCTTGGATTTCAGGAGGCAGGGAACTGAGGTAGTGAATCTCCATCAGTTCCCAGTTCCCTCTAAATTGCTTTAAGAACCCTGTTAAAGGTCATCAATATATCAGCCCATTAAATGGACAACAATTGAGACACGCGCTTTGATCTTATTAATATTACACGTGTAAAATCAAGAAATCTTCTAAGGCAGCATATTCATTTTTCTGTCTAAAATTATCCTTGAAGAAATTTATTAAACTAACTCTAACCCAGCAAGTTGCACCTTCCCCATTTCCTTTGTTTCTGCCCTGCCTCTCTGTTGTGCCTATTTACAAAGCACGCGGCATTCCCTGCTGAGAATAAAGTACTCGGGAACTGAAGGTCACTCCTGCATTGACCGTGGACATTTATTTCTCAGAGACTCAGTGTCTGTATCTCTGAACATGTAGACTTAGAAATTGTAGCTGGAAAGGCAGTAATTAGTTTTAATTTAATTTTGATCTAGAATCTTCTCAGCTCATTGCTTGCTAGCCTATTCTTTCTAAGACTTGTAGAAATGGGACTTCAACTTTAAACTGTCCTTACTCAAATTTCAACCAATAAACCCAAGAAAAACGTACCAGTGACATCAATTTGAAAATCTGTGCTACTGAATTCGAGTACCAACAGAACACACAGGGTTAGGCTTTGCCTCAAAGACTAATGCCCATGATTAATTCTCCTTTTTTAGAATAATACTCCTGTCAAAAATCAAATGGGATTATTCACAAGAGACAGTCAAATACATTCTTTGCAGAGCTTTTTCTGACAGGTGAAATGCTTGTTTCAAAACAGTCTGCTTCAAACTGAAAATTAATGCTGCCTCATCTAACATTTTTCTTAGCAAAGAGAGCATTATAGACCTGAAAACAGCACAAATCTTGTGTCTTGCATAACAAAGGTATGCTTTACTTACACCACTACTGGTATTTGACTTTTGCTACTCCAGACAGAGTTTAATAGAAATACACGGGCATTTCTTTTCAAGAAAAGGCTTAACGCTTCAAGCCAGACAGGTCAATTTGCCTGTTGTGAGGGAGGAACTTTGTTCTTGTAAAAGAAACCGAACTGTGTGTTCTCACTGATCTAACAGCATCCTGCACTGCACCCGAGAAACCTCCGATAACCACACGCTGCTTCTCTTTTCCTTCGCAAAACGCATTAGAATGGGCCAACAGCAACCTGTCTGTGATTCTAGAAGGGAACTGAAACTTTCCTCGGGCAGCTCAGCTGTGTGGGTTCCTGTAAATTCAAACCATAATGAGAGAATCGCTACAGAGATGGAGAGACATCTGCAGATGGGGAACAGGAGGGGGGTGAGATTACATCCATTTTGAGAATTAAAAACTCAAATGTTTTTTCCAGGCTTTGCCGCTAATACAACAATTCAGATCTTTCAAGGAGTATTTCTCTGGCCAATCTCATTTCAAGAAAAAAAAAAAAAAAAGTACACTACTCTTCAGGATACAGTAGCTTCTTTTTCAACCTCTTGTTAAGTTATAGCTGCCGCAAGTCTCCAGAGTATCAGTCCTATTTCAGTCACCAGGCTTTTGTACATTCTGTACAAGTGAAGCTCAAGTATATCACATAAAAAAGGATCTGGCCCATTTCTTCGCTTGTTTATTTTACAGATGTACTGGATGCAAGCGTTACTGCCGGAAAGAGAGCTTAAGACTCAAAACAAAAAACGAAGATGAGTGTAACACTACGCACTTTTTGCAACAAAACAAGGCACGTTTCTGAACTTGAATAATGTTTCAAGCAACCCTAATATTTAATCTGGCATAAAGAATATAACATCTTTTCTTTTCCCTTCAGAGATACTTTTGTCTGCTGGCAGCCAGTGGTAAGGATTTCATGCTACCTCAAACAAGCGCTTTTGAAATTAAACCCTCTTGTTGGTGTTGTCATGTGAGATTACAATTCCCAGTTAAATAAGGGTGCTTTAGGAGGATTGACAGAATAATACAAAAGATTAATGCAATGTGTGTCATCTTTTTAAAGGTACCTCAAGTGTAACTAATGTGGCTTAATAAGAATATGCTTAGTTTTACAGTAAACAAAAAAAAACAAACGTATGTTTCTGCTCTTGTGATATTTAGTCCCTTTTTGTTCACAATGAGCATTTCCAAATCACTATAGTTTTGTAACCGTTAACACTGTTGATTTTAAAGCTGAATTTCATAGCACAACAGATGCCTTAAATCAACTTTTAACATCAAATTGGTAAAGTATATTAAGTCTTGAGAGGCCTTCTTAAAGATAGTAAGAATTCCGTTTAGATAACAATTGGAAGGCAGGAAAAAAAAAGCTTTGTGAAACAAATCAAATGAAAGTGCAATACACAAAGCTATTAGGATCTGCATGGAATTTCTGATTCAAAGAGAGAGAAGTATTTGTACTTTTTCTAACATTGACCAACAGGTTTTGAAGTAATAAAGCTGTTGGTACAGACCCAGCGAGGGCAGAACAGCAGAGTATTCACATAAGAATAGCTGAAGTCTTAAAGACGTTACTTCTCATGAGGAAGTCCACTAAAGCAGTTGAAAAAAATCAACCCTCACTTTGGAGTTCAACCAACAGAGAATACATCAAGTCCTTGACCTTTCCACAATCTGCAGATAGGTTTGTTATTTCTTCCTTGTGAACACCTATAAACTAGTAACAGTGCCTGACAGAGAAACAAGAATGTGTAAAAGGGAAGAAATTTATTTATTTTTGTATGAACAGTTGAGTTTCTGATAAATCACCTGTTTGTCTGAGTTCAGATTTAGTTGGCATAATCCCTAAAGTTGTAACTAAAGGTAAGGAACTCATCTTATTATTTCGATAAAAATGCTAAATACAGTCTTAGTTTTAATAAGTAGCCCGATTACGCAAGACTTCCATCTTCAGACTTTTATGTGTTAGGGTTTGTGACGGCTGCTGTTCACACATAACGAAACGTGCTGTAATACAGGACAGCAGCGACTACGCAGATACGTCCTCTAGTAAAGGATACATGCTGACTGCGCTAGTAAAGGATACTTTCCATTTAAGAACCTAAAGTGTTCAGCATCTTGGGTCTTAGTGTGCTTTAGAGATAATGAACTCTCCCCACCTCCTACTAGTTGTTTATTGAAGCAAATTAACTCAATGATTTGCCTGTACATCACAGGGGTGGGGTGGGGTATGGGGGGGAGCAGAGACCACACAAGGAATCAGGAATGGGACCCTTATTGGCTATCAGACAATGCCCTCAGACCTTCAGCCATTGTGACACTGACAGGTTAGTCTACAATACTGACTGCTGTACAAAAAGTGAAGAACTAGTGCAATCCAGGAGGACCTTATGTCCAAATCTTGTGTTTAGGGTCAGAAAAGTCTGTGCTAGGTGCTGGTTTCCAGGTACATGCGGTATGCAAGGACAAAGCTGACTGTTGGAGGACCCTGCATTCACATTGCAAATGGGTCACTCCCAACAACAGCCTGGTGTGAGACATGTACCTACCATCTGCCTAGAAGGAAAGAGTACGCTAGCGGTGCATTTGAATGCATACCGCAAAACTACAAATACACACAAGAGAAAGACATATCTAAAAAGAATTCCTCCAACATACTAAATAACTAAGGTAGAGTTTAATACATCATGGATATGTCCAGGTCTTCCAGTCACATGAAATCCTAGGCCAGACAGCTGAAAGAAAAGCTTAAAGCAAATGAGCAGATAGAAAACAAAAAAACAAAACCAAAACCAAAAAACTAAACCCCACATTTTCTTCTAATTGTCAAGCAATCCAGCCACCTTGTTTTATTTCCTAACTGTGATGACAGTAGAGCCAAAGTAACCAGAAACCCGATGGAGTAGAAGTTCTCTATTCCACTAAGAGGGGAACAAATGGTCCATGTGACAGCTGGGGCTACCGCCAGCAAGATCTTACAGCACTAGAGCATCTCATTTTAGCCCACTGTGCTTGCCCAGCGTGAGGAATGAAAGTAACCTCCTACAGGGGAAATGAAACCAGGAAATTCTGTCACAAGGAATCGAAGAATAAGAGCTATATGTAACGCCAGTTTGAGTGGATGATCTTCAAAGTTCAATATTCTGAAACAGTACTTCAGCACATCAATAAGTAAGTACAGTTAAGCAAATACTAAATGATTTTTAAGTCAAGTCACTGGAGGAGTCAGTAGCTCCGCAATTCGGTTCAAGCAGTATCAGAATAGCTACTTCTGTGATCATGAAAGTTTTTTCTTACTGGTAACTAAGCATTGCTCCCAAGCACTAGATATGTAAACGCTGTGCTAAGAGATTCACAATAGCATTTCACTTTTTTAATTGTAGTAAACCAACGTTAGGCATACCACAGTGCCAACAGGTAAGTTGCCTGTGCTTTCCTCCTGCTAATGAGCCCTGCATGTATATGAAACAGACCAGAAAATAAGAATTTATAGACCTATTCACCCTCTCCTCCCACTTCACTTTCAGCTTAAAAATCAATATGATCACACAGCTGTCCACTACATCACACAGAACAGCATTAAGAAATTTAAGAACTCTTGCATTTGTTCAAGAAAGGCAAGATTTGAAGTGTTTCAGTTTGCCTACTATCACATTGAAGTACTAAAAACCATAGAAAAACTGATCTACAACTGAACCATGTAAGACTGTATAAAGACCAGCTACTTCATTATTAACAGTCACAAAATAGTGTCACATAACTTTCCTTATTTCAGAGATATAAAAACTCAAGTAACATTAAATTTAACTGGTGACAAATCTTTCTAAAGATAGTTTATTTCTTCCTTTTTCCCCTCAGAAAGGTGTTTCCACTTACTAATTGACTCTAAACTGTGAGCTCAGTTTTTAAGCCAAAAAAATTACAAAGCACAAATTTTATTTGCAACACTAAGAAAGATTCAGAGGAAACAATACTGCATTAAAACTATTCTTTAAAATACAATCTTGAGAGAGTATATTGTTTTCCATTAGGGCTTGCAAATATCCAATGCTAACTGGATGACATGCAAATATTTTGTGTTGCTCTGCTTGAAATTCAGGCTTGAAAACATATTCTTATATAGCCAGTTTTCAAATGTGAAAGACAATCGTGTGCTTTGCCACTTATATTAAGTTATGTTGTATAATATAATGTATTTGGGAACATTAGAGCTTATTTATAATGATTTGAGAAGTAAATATTTCTTTTCTAAGAATTCATCGTTTGCGGTAGATATGAAAGCAGATTTAAAACAGACAAAGACTCTTACCTGCTATACTTGCAAATATTTCACTGAATCCAATCAGCACATACTGAGGAATCTGCCACCATATCGGCAAATCTGCAGCATGGTATGTAACATTTCCAATTGTCTGATTAATTGTTCTAACCTTGACAATTTTCAGTCTGTTGCTTTCCAGAATTCCTACATGAAGGGGACGAAAAAAAAGATTGATCTAAGATGCGAATATTGTTTCTTCATTTTAAGAGTTAAATTAGGATTCAGCCCTGCACTGCAATTACAAATTATAAAATAGGAGTATGTATTTCTTTATTTCCTAATACAAAACATTTCAGATTAGTTTTGCTATTGTTATTTCAAGACACACAGTTCTTCTGCCATAGAATTAGTGATTATATTCTTATTCAGTAGCAATAATTACACAAATACTTAACCTTTTTCCAGATGGATTAGCTGAGAGCTGTCTCATACAAATTCTGGTTTTGAGGTTTTTTTGAAAGACGATCTCATTTTCACAAACTACTGCTTTGCAGTGTTGAACCACTGCGTCTGCCACCATAGTATTAATAAATTAAAAACCGGTTTGCTTATCGAAGTGGCTACACTAGTCCTGTAGAATAATAAAAACCCTCTATGAATATGATCATGACATTTATATGATGCTTATCATCCCAAGAGACCCAAAAGCTCAGTAGAGCTTGATTTACAAGCAATACATTGCATAGAAAGTACTTCATGTAGAATGAAAAATAGACATGGTGGCGTAAAATATAACCATTTCTAGCTCGCTCAACACAACAATTTAGAGCAGAGAGTGAATATCAAATAATGCTGTAGGGTTTTTGTGCAAGTTGCCCACATTAAGGATTTACCTCACTGTTACATAAAACGCACAGCTAATAGTTAAACTCCCGGCTTCGCCCAGAAAGGACCTCTATAAAAGTACTCTCAATATCCTTGGAAATAAGGTGGATTTATTAATCACCAATTCAGAGGAGCAAGACTAACTCAACAACATTACTTCCTATAATAGGTGTCACACACACATGGCCTCCCATTTCGTGCCTGTCAGTTTTGGGGCACAAAATATCACTCCTGTTACAAAAAAAGAACCTGTAGAAGGCTTAGATGACAGACACGATGCTTCATGGGTATCACACCATGTCCAAGTGATTACATCTGCTTCCTCACTTTCAGCTTTTTCTTTCCTAGAGGCAGCCACAGGATGACATGGACATTTAATATGATGTTGGCTGAAGCTATTGACAGCACTTTTCATATAAACAAGCACAAGCAACTTCTAATGCACAATATAATATCTGCTCTCCTGTTTCTTCCCAAATCTGTGACATACAGACTTCAAGGGGGCCAACAAGACCACCACCTCTCTGCTAAGTAACAGCGTTCCACAGAAAATGACTGATATCTGTCAAAACCACCTCATACCACAACATGCAGTTTCTTATTAGTCCTGGTCATGGCAAGAGAGCCAAGCTGGGAAGAAAGCATGAGGAAAGCTCCTTGTAGTCCCTATATATAGTCTGTAGGTGAGGCCATAGCTAAACAAGAAGTTCTAGAAATCACGTGCCTAAGGATAACATCGTATTTCATCATTGTACGGAGTTAGAGCCGCCAGAGCTCTGAAAACCAGAGTGAGGGAACACACATTAACAAGTGACTTGCAAAGTACTTTGAAATGGATGGAAAGCTGCATTTGTATAACCCATGCTTATTCATTCATAGCAGTTCAGAATCTATTCAAGCGTGAAATCTCACAACAGTTCTACAGTCTAATCTTCTGAGACACAAGAGCTGTAGAGGGAAAACAGGTTAGAATTACTCAAGTTTGTTTAAATACTACCTTGAGGCCCCGAAATGTTTCTTAAAAATAGTGTTTTCCTTAATAACATCTGGTTTTGAGATGAAGACTATTCTGGACTTAGTATATCTTAGTGCCAGGCCACCACATCTTCTCTACCTTCCTCACTTCTTTTTAGGTGACCACTTACCCATCTTCTCCTTAAGCATCTTCCTTCAGCTCTTCAGCCACCTCAGCGCCCTCTGAACTATGAAGAGCTAATGTAATTAAAATAACACTTGATTTCTTGATGTTTTGGGTTTAATAAAGGTGGCAAACATTTTAGAGTGAGCTTAATTAAAACATAAACAAAGCAGCACAGTCAGCTGAGAACTCAGACATAATTTCATTTATATACATTCAAGACAAAATTATTGCACCGCAAAAAATCTAGTGATCCTTAATGTGTTTGATACTCTTCACAACACAAGCAGATTTAGGAGGCGTTTAGCCACATAGCAGCATAATTACAATATACCAAACTATGCCATAAATTTATCTTCAAAGCCAAGTACTTCAGAATCTAGAATTTATTGATTCTTTCTTAGACTTTGATAGACAAGCTTCAAGTTTAATCCTACAGTTTTAGTAGTTAAAAGAATTTTAAGTTCTTGCTATAATTGTTTAAACTCTACAAATGAAGTAGATTTTCCAGTTGAATAACCTTAAATACTGCTGCTCAGAATTTACGATAAAATGCATGAAGCACAGCAGATGTTCATTAAATCTAATCAGTTATATTCTCACACAGTTTATAAGATATTTAAAATAATCTAAACACTCTAATAGGCAGCCTAAGTAGTGTCCCCAGCTAATGCCAGTCAGATAAGTAAGTTAAAATGGAAATATGGCACAAACAAATCATTAAGGTCCTTCCAAGATTGCAAGTTAAGATATTAACATCTTCATACGTTTAAGATTTTAATCAGATCTCTCTCTAAGGCAGAAATGGTTGGAAGTCATGTTGTATTTTAACAATATTAAAATATGGCTTCTATAAATATCATTTAATGAGAAAATAAAAATTTTATGAAGCATATAAACAAACAGAAGCTTTCCACCCTGCTAGAAATAAATAGTTTCCTGTGCCCCAAATTTGTCACAACTGAAGCTCTTAAATTCATGTTATGATGAAGGGATGTAAGGTCCTCCAAAAGGTTAAACTTCCCAACCAGGTTGCAGATAACCAACCACCCCACGAATTCACCTTCTCAGTTTCTGCTGTGGAAGAGTTACGAGAGGCTCAAAACCAAGAAAATCATGCGCTACAGTTGTAGATGAACAGAAAACAAGAAGGCATTTGAAAATTTTAAGAATTCTGCTATATGATTCCATTCCCCAACTCAGTTATCATAACTTGATATGCATTTTCCCCCCAGTACTAATAAAGACAGATATTGCTCGTTTTGAATTCACTTATATGTGAGCCAGCAGGTTCTGTTTAAAGAGCTGACATTTAACTGTTTTACATCATCTTCATTTGCTGGTAGCAGTGTCTTAAGTAACATGGAATAAGAGAAACATTCCTATTTTAAGTTTAAATGACTTTAAGAACTTTACTTGCCCACATACAAAGTGACCTTGGCCTAATAAGGTAATTATCTGTCTCACTGAGAGAAATCTTAATAGCCGTATAAAGTGTCCCTCTCTCTAAAATATAGGAGATTACAAGTGCTGAAATTAATTTATTTAATGCTATAATGCTTTATCAATATGTTCATTACAGTATACTAGGTGAAGGCTATAGGTTCTATGAAGCATTGCTCAGAGATGTTCAGTTCCACATCAGCAGTGCTTAACAACTTTAAACCATCTCAAAAGCAGCTGATTTATGGTTCTAACAGAGTTGCCATCTTTTTCCTTTCATGTTACTGCTAAGCTATTTTACACTACAGTAATTCCCAAACATTAGGGAACATTAAGTTACGGGAGGAAAAAACCCAAAGTGGGAGGAAACTCTTGTTCAGCCATAACCTAACTTTATTATTTCAGATAAAGGGAAAAGATTTTAGGTTAAAATTTCACTTTTTAAATACTTGGAAGTCAGACCATATGAAAGAACATACTTATTTCTGAACTAATTTGTTTTTCAGGATAAATAAATGTTTAACTTCAAGATAAAAGTAAATCAGACAACATGGACTTCCATAATACCATCAAGTTTAAGAGGACTAACAGCCTTGTATCCAAATAAGTCTCCTTCCCTGGAGACATTCAAAACCCATCTGGACACGTTCCTTGTGTGATCTACTCTAGGTGGTCCTGCTCTGGCAGGGGGTTGGACTAGATGATCTTTCGAGGTCCCTTCCAACCCCTGACATTCTGTGGTTCTGTGAAACACTGAACACTTTGTTCAGGCAACTCAAACACTGATCATCAAGCTAAGGCATACAGTCAGAAAACAAATAGTTCTCCTCTACCAAGCACACTAAAGTCACACTGTATATGAAAACCTTAACTGACAAGTTGGTTTCAGAAGGTACACTTGAGATCTATTTCAGGCAGGAAAAATGGTCCAGTTTATTGCAAATGTTCAAAACACTTTAGTTACATTTTTGGATAACATCTCTTTCACTGTGGCAAATGCATCCATGCAGTTGCATTCTAACTACCGCATGAAAAAGACTTCTGAATAATCTTGAATTAAAGATTAAAGAAGGTTTTTTAAAAATGCTGTCGCAAGTAGCTGAATAAATAACTACGTAGGTGGATCTCAAAGTTGTCTTCTTACCTGCAGCAAACGCAGAACACATTACAAAGAACATTCCAACTGCGATCCTCTTCAGTGAGGAAGGGAGCAAGCCATTCCTCTTTAAAATGGGGTCCACCAATTTATCTTTTAAGGGTATTAGGATCAGAATAAGCACTGCATCAAACATAGTCAACCAGGCTGCTGGAAACTGAAAGGATAGATTACTTAAGTTAGCAATTTCATACTTGAGGGTTGATTTTTACTATTATTTTACAAAATATTTTTGATGGAACACTGAGATCCAAAATAAACAACAATGCACTGACAGACACTGTGAAAAGAAAAATAAGCCTGTGTAAAAGCAGAGGAAAACACTCAGCTATTCAGGTGTTCATTTAATTTGTCAGTTCATAATTCCGTTGGCTCGATTCCTCACCATAGTAACTCCAACAGTACTGCATCTTCTCACTTTCAAGACACACCTCCAGCTGTGCTGAGGTGGGTGTTGGGTTGTTTGGTTTTGTTTTGTTGTTTTGGTTTT